AATACTACAGCTGGTGAACAGCCAAATGCAAGCGAAAACATGTTGGGAAAAATTTGTAAGGAATTCGTTAACCGAAATTTGTTCGTTAACAGAAGTGAAGAATCTTATGGAAGGTAATTCGTGAACCGAAATTCCAATAACCGAGGGATCACACTGTATTAAAATTATTGGTCATTCTGAAATTTAGTTAACATATTGATAATATATACAGTACAGGGAACAGTTTTTGTGTGCCCGTCAGCTGATCGGATCACCCACCAACGCTTCTCAGTTTAACTTTGTTTACAGTGGAGTGAACATTGAGTTTGTTGGTTTCTTGAATATTTTTGCATTTTTACGTTAAAATTATTGGTCATTCTGAAATTTAGTTAGTATATTGATAATGTGCAGTGCAGAAATTATTATGAAACTTGAAGAAGGCATTAGAACCAATGCACTGTAAAGAATATGGCATGTCATCATCAACTGCCTCTACAATCAGCTGTTTGATATGTAAACAAAGCTGTCGGGAATACGACATACACACCTCAGAATAAGTTAAAATACAGTATTCTATTGTTTTTTATTTATTATTGTACAGTATACAGTACAGTACTGTATATAGTTTATATTTAATGTTTTGTTAATTCTATTACCGGTATACAGTACTTTGTATGTACAGTGGTCCCTCGGTTAACGAACACAATTCATTCCACAGTCGTACGTTAACCGAATCTATTATTTCAATGGGATATTGGGTAAATGGTTCCAACTCACAGAAAAGTACATACAAAGTATAAACAAAATACAGTACAGTACACTTACCTTGAGGTGTGTATGTAGAATGTTGTTGGTTGATGATGATGATGGGAATTAGAAGTGGGGGTGGAGGATAAGGGAGAAGAGAAGCATTTTAATGCTTCTTGGAATGCGAGTCACCTTCCACAATAATGTCAGGGACGTCTGGACTGACAGATTCTCTAACATGAAAATCCTCTCTCCTTTTTGGAGAGGAACACTGAGGGGAATCATCTTTCTCACCTATGCTTGATGCAGTAATTTCACCAATAAAATTTTAACTTCACTGGCTGTATTTAAAGATTATTTTATTTAAATCAACACTGCACTGCGCTAAATATTATCAATATGTTAACTAAATTTCAGAATGACCAATAATTTTATTGTAAAAATGTAAAAATACTCTTGTCTCACTTTATACCTTAACATACATACTGTTCTGTACTGGAGGTAGTTTACCAGTCTTGTCTCACTTTATACCTTAACATACATACTGTTCTGTAGGTAGTTTACCAGTCTTGTCTCACTTTATACCTTAACATACATAGGTAGTTTACCAGTCTTGTCTCACTTTATACCTTAACATACATACTGTTCTGTACTGTTGTGGATTGATTTAAATGTTTCTCTCTTTTCTCTCAAAATCATAAGGTCATTAGTGTAGCTCTGAGGCCCTCCCTTTGATGATGTGTACAATATTTTCAGATGGAAAACTTATGAGATTTAACCAGATATGATAATATACCTGTAATGTTGATGCCACAAAATGTAGTGTAAGGCTGTAACATTGTACTGTACTGTATGGTCCAAAATTATGTGGGTACAGTATTATTAATTTTGCGGGATTGATAAATTATGTGATCAGTAAGCAGCATATATAACCCTTGAAGCTTTTCAAGTCTTGGGTTCTTTCTTTCATGGAGCTTTTTGGTACAGTATTTGAACATTGGCTTAACAAACTGGTGGTATAGAATACTGGGCTCTACTGTACCCTATGAAACATTCCTTTTTGTGGTGTGGCATTTTTCTCACAGTATCTGTCCTCATGTGGATTTTTAAGTCAGGTGATTACTGTACTGTACTATGTTACTTAATTAAAATCTTAAGATGATTGTATTCCTTCAAACAGTTTTCAGTTTAATCATGTTGTCTCAGAAGTTTCAATTAGTGCTGTGTTAAAGTGTCCTCCTGTCAACCACACCGTGCTGCTGAGCATATCTTGTCTTTTCAAGGTATCTTATGTTCCCTCATATTGAGTGTGTCAAAACACTCACACTGAGCACAAGTATAGGGGACTCATATCAACATTATGGAATAATTCTTTCAGGCGTGATTGTAATTGTAGAATAAAAACTACAGTACTGTAGTACAGTACAGTATATACTATATACAGTATATTATAATTTTAAGAGTTAACGTCTGGGACCCAATCTCTCGTGCACATAGCCAGTAAGTACAGAGCAGTACAAGAAACACTGAAGAGACCAGTGGATGCTGACAAGGAATAATTTAAGAAACCCATTCAGAGCACATGTGAACAACCCAGCCTGTGATGAACATGCAGGGCTGTACGTTGCAAGCATCAGCAGAATACTTGATCGGGTCATCACTTGGAGACCTTGGTCTCAGGCTTTGCCACAAAGGAGGGGGGTGGAAATACTGTACCCACCAGATAATTTAACTCATATTAAGCAATGCAATGATGAACATCAATTATCTCAAACATCTTGTAATTCCAATTTTCTATGCACAGTACAGTACACTAGAGAAGTCTTGTGTAATGGACTGTAATGTGCTTCCAGTAGGTAGACAACAAAACAGACCAAATTGTCCTCTTTGCATACTGGAAAGAGTGTGTTTGGTCACTATTGAGCGTTAGTAATGGTTCAACAGATTATGGTTGTAGGAGTGGAGGGTAGGTAATTTACTGTATAGTACAGCAAGATGATAAAATATAATTTTTTATTATTTATTGTAGCAGTACACTGTTTACCATCATGCTTTAGGAACAACTGTACTGTACAGTACCTGTAAAAAGTTAGGGTCATATATTAGATACAGAGTCTCTCTCTCTCTCTCTCTCTCTCATGTGTGGGGGAAGCTGGCCACTATCATTTCTTCCGGTGTATCAGTGAGGTGAGGTGGGACTTACTTCTGGAGGCGGTGATAATAGAGCTGGTGGTGGTGGTAGCTTGGGGGAGGGGGGCACACCTCATGTTTCCAAGTCATGCATTATTCTGTACTGATATACTTGTCATGGTGGCCTGGGTTAAGTGAGTTAGAAGAGTGGCCCACTTACTACCACCACCACCAATAATAATAATAATATCAGCAAAGATTTAAAAGAAGGAACAAGGGAGAGAGAGAGAGCGAGAGAGAGAGCAACTCCGAATATGAAGACTTGAGTAACCAAAAATATCAACCAATTCAGTATCATGACATAACTGAAACAACAGCTCTCAACACAATATATTATGTAAAGAATATAATGTGATAAGTTTGGCGTCAACAAAGAGTAACACTGTGTATGGTTGGGTGAGTAAGTAACAAAGAGTAACACTGTGTATGGTTGGGTGAGTAAGTAACAAAGAGTAACACTGTGTATGGTTGGGTGAGTAAGTAACAAAGAGTAACACTGTGTATGGTTGGGTGAGTGAGTAACAAAGAGTTACACTGTGTATGGTTGGGTGAGTAAGTAACAAAGAGTAACACTGTGTATGGTTGGGTGAGTAAGTAACAAAGAGTAACACTGTGTATGGTTGGGTGAGTAAGTAACAAAGAGTAACACTGTATGGTTGGGTGAGTAAGTAACAAAGAGTAACACTGTGTATGGTTGGGTGAGTAAGTAACAAAGAGTAACACTGTGTATGGTTGAGTAACAAAAGTAACAAAGAGTAACACTGTGTATGGTTGGGTGAGTAAGTAACAAAGAGTAACACTGTGTATGGTTGGGTGAGTAAGTAACAAAGAGTAACACTGTGTATGGTTGGGTGAGTAAGTAACAAAGAGTAACACTGTGTATGGTTGGGTGAGTGAGTAACAAAGAGTGACACTGTATGGTTGGCTGAGTAAGGAACAAAGTAACACTGTATGGTTGGCTGAGTAAGTAACAAAGAGTAACACTGTGTATGGTTGGGTGAGTAATTAACAAAGAGTAACACTGTGTATGGTTGGGTGAGTAATTAACAAAGAGTAACACTGTGTATGGTTGGGTGAGTAAGTAACAAAGAGTAACACTGTATGGTTGGGTGAGTAACAAAGTAACAGTAAGTAACAAAGTAACACTGTATGGTTGGGTGTGTATGGTTGGCTGAGTAAGTAACAAAGAGTAACAGTGTGTATGGTTGGGTGAGTAAGTAACAAAGAGTAACACTATGGTTGGCTGAGTAAGGAACAAAGTAACTGTGTATGGTTGGCTGAGTAAGGAACAAGAGTAACAGTGTATGGTTGGCTGAGTAAGTAACAAACAGTAACAGTGTGTATGGTTGGGTGAGTAAGTAACAAAGAGTAACAGTGTGTATGGTTGGGTGAGTAAGGAACAAAGAGTAACACTGGTTGGCTGAGTAAGGAACAAAGTAACTGTGTATGGTTGGCTGAGTAAGGAACAAAGAGTAACAGTGTGTATGGTTGGGTGAGTAAGTAACAAAGAGTAACAGTATGGTTGGGTGAGTAAGTAACAGTAAATGTGTATGGTTGGGTGAGTAAGTAACAAAGAGTAACTGTATGGTTGGCTGAGTAAGTAACAAAGTAACTGTGTTGTTGGGTGAGTAACAAAGTAACACTATATGGTTGGGTGAGTAAGTAACAAAGAGTAACACTGGTTGGGTAAGTAACAGTGTGTATGTTGGGTGAGTAAGTAACAAAGTAACACTGTATGGTTGGGTGAGTAAGTAACAAAGAGTAACACTGTATGGTTGGGTAAGTAACACTGTGTATGGTTGGGTAAGTAACACTGTGTATGGTTGGGTAAGTAACAAAGAGTAACACTGTGTGGTTGGGTGAGTAACAAAGAGTAACACTGTGTGGTTGGGTAAGTAACACTGTATGGTTGGGTAAGTAACACTGTGTATGGTTGGGTAAGTAACACTGTGTATGGTTGGGTGAGTAACACTGTGTATGGTTGGGTGAGTAACAAAGAGTAACACTGTGTGGTTGGGTGAGTAACAAAGAGTAACACTGTGTGGTTGGGTGAGTAAGTAACAGGTGTTGTTGTCCCCCGACAGACCCCCAGCGGTAACGTGGAAGCCAAGGTGATGTGTTTCTACAGACGCCGGGACATCTCCTCCTCCCTCATCATGCTGGCAGACAAACATCAGAGTGAGTACACTACAATACTCTGTGTTCTTTTGTTGATAACCGCGTTGTCTTGTGTCCAATCTACCTCTTGATTTGATATCATCCACTAAAACACACACACGCACGCAAACACACACGCAAACACACATACACACGCAAACACACATACACACGCAAACACACATACACACGCAAACACACACACACACATGCGCGCGCACACACACACACACACGCGCACACACACACACACACACACACACACACACATACACACACACACGCAAACAAACACATACACACACACACGCAAACACATATACACACGCAAACACATATACACACACACAGTCGCACGCGCGCGCACACACACTCACACACAGAGTTAAGGTTTGCAACATATAGTAGATTTAATGTTTGTTATATTCTCAACATGTTCCACACGATACCTCGACGCTTGTGTCTGGCGGTGTTGATATACCGTAGGGTGTCCATTATGCTCCCGATGTAAATCATACGTGTGTTCATTATGCTCCCGATGTAAATCATACGTGTGTTCATTATGCTCCCGATGTAAATCATACGTGTGTTCATTATGCTCCCGATGTTAATCATACGTGTGTTCATTATGCTCCCGATGTAAATCATACGTGTGTTCATTATGCTCCCGATGTTAATCATACTTGTGTTCATTATGCTCCCGATGTAAATCATACGTGTGTTCATTATGCTCCCGATGTTAATCATACTTGTGTTCATTATGCTCCCGATGTAAATCATACGTGTGTTCATTATGCTCCCGATGTAAATCATACGTGTGTTCATTATGCTCCCGATGTTAATCATACTTGTGTTCATTATGCTCCCGATGTTAATCATACTTGTGTTCATTATGCTCCCGATGTAAATCATACGTGTGTTCATTATGCTCCCGATGTAAATCATACGTGTGTTCATTATGCTCCCGATGTAAATCATACTTGTGTTCATTATGCTCCCGATGTTAACCATGCTTGTTTTCATTATGCTCCCGATGTAAATCATACGTGTGTTCATTATGCTCCCGATGTAAATCATACTTGTGTTCATTATGCTCCCGATGTAAATCATACTTGTGTTCATTATGCTCCCGATGTAAATCATACTTCTTGAAAATCTCAAGTTTTCAATTTTTCACTTAATGCTCCACACTATTAAAATGCTCCACGTGATAGTAAACCACTTGAAAATATCAGACGATGTAAATGTATGTTGTTATGTGTACAGTATAATGTTTCACACACACACACACACACACACACACACACAGCCTGATATACGTTACTGTACACAGCAGATGTCATTGCATTCACTAAGCCTCATATATACAGCACCACGCACAGTACTCTTACCACAACTCAAGGCAAAAAAAAAGTTAAAAAAAAATCATCCCCATATCCTCTGTGTACTAATGATGGAATCGCAAACACGTCCAGGCAGTTTATTCCCTCTGCCTCGTACAGCGGTGCTGGGGTGTGTGGTCCTCTCCGCCTCAGGGTATCTCGCCTCGCAACACACTAGTGCCACGTGTTCCTGTCCCTTAACCCCGCCATGCCTTCTGCGGCCCCGGCTCTTCCTTCTGACCCTCTCGCCCCGACACACCACACCCACACCCTGCCCCACACACCACACCCTGCCCTGCCACACCACACCCCTGCCCTGCCACACACCACCCCTGCCCTGCCACACCACACCCTGCCCGCCACATTCTCACCAATAATTACTAATGACCATCTCCACCATTTTCCGCCATACACCATCTAATGTCCCTCCTCCCTGCCCCTCAATGTTTGACTATATCTACTGGCCACGTGCTCCTCCTCCCTCCGCCATACACCGCATAGTTCCTCCCCGCCTCGCTTCCCCACTCACCTCACTTTCATCTGTAGCTTGATATGCACCTCCAACACACACACACACACACACACACACACACATACATACATACATATACACACAGTTCCCTTCACTCCCTTTCCTCCCCGCCTCGCTTCCTCCACCCACCCTGACGCCTAACCTTCGACAACATGTCCACCATTACCACCCACCCCCCAGCCCCACCACCACCCTTCCCAGCCCTGCCACCACCTGCCAGCCCCCCCACCACCAGTCCTGCCACCACCCTGCCCCCGCCACCAGCCCCCGCCACCACCCTGCCCCCCCGCCACCAGCCCCGCCACCACCCTGCCCAGCCCTGCCACCACCCTGCCCAGTCCTGCCACCACCCCTGCCCAGCCCTGCCACCACCCCTGCGAGCCCGCCAGCCCTGCCACCACCCCTCCACCAGCCTGCCACCACCCCTGCCCAGCCCCGCCACCACCCAGCCGAGTCCGCCACCACCCGCCCAGTCCTGCCCAGCCCGCCACCACCCTGCCCAGTCCTGCCACCCCTGCCCAGCCCTGCCACCACCCAGCCGAGTCCTGCCACCACCTGCCCAATCCCGCCCAGCCACCACCCCTGCCCAGTCCTGCCACCACCCCTGCGAGCCCCGCCACCACCCCGCTATTGATACCCTCACTAACTGCCACTACCTGCCCTGCCCCTCATGGCACCCTCCCTTCTCCCCTGTCGTCAGTGTCTCCCATAGTTTGTGTATCACCATTATCGCCAGTCCCCACCCCTTACACCTCCCACTGCCTGGCCTTACCTCACTGCCTGGCCCCACTGCCTTGCCTCACTGCCTGGCCCCACCTCACTGCCTGGCCCCACCTGCCTTGCCTCACTGCCTGGCCTGCCCCCACCTCACTGCCTGGACCCACCTGCCTTACCTCACAACCTGGCCCCACCTCACTGCCTGGCCCCACCTCACTGCCTGGCTCCCACCTCACTGCCTGGACCCACCTGCCTTACCTCCATCTGGCCCCACCCGCCTTACCTCACTGCCTGGGCCCCACCTCACTGCCTGGCCCCACCTGCCTTACCTCACTACCTGGCCCCACCTGCCTCACTACCCCCCACCTCCCCCCCGCTCCTCACCACACTGCTGCATCACCATCATTACCCCTCACCATACACCGCCCCTCACCACACTGCTGCATCACCATCATTACCCTCACCATACAGCGCCCATCACCACACTGCTGCATCACCATACACCGCCCCTCACCATACACCGCCCCTCACCATACCGCCCATCACCATGCACCGCCTATCACAGCCCATCATACACCGCCCATCACCATACACCGCCCATCACTATCCTCACCATACACCGCCCATCACCATACACCGCCTATCACCGTCATTACCCCCACCATACACCACCCCTCACCATACACCGCCTATCACCGTCATTACCTCACCATACACCGCCCCTCACCATACACCGCCCATCACCGTCACCCTCACCATACACCGCCTATCACCGTCACCCTCACCATACATTCACCCTCACCATACATATCACCGCCTATCACCGTCATTACCTCACCATACACCGCCTATCACCGTCATTACCCTCACCATACACCGCCCATCACCGTCATTACCTCACCATCATTCTCACCATACACCGCCCATCACCGTCATTACCCCTCACCATACACCGCCTATCACCGTCATTACCCTCACCATACACCGCCCCTCACCCACCCCTACACCGCCTATCACCGTCATTACCCTCACCATACACCGCTTCGTGGATGACATTTGGAGCGGCGCGTCAGTCATGTTTGGTGGTTTTTACCGGCCTAAAGTTGAACACTTATTCCCTGTGGGGTGTTACCGCCTCGCTGATTGGCTGCCCCCGCCGGATAACTTTCCCGTGTGTGCGTGTGTGTATGCGTGCGTGTGTGCGTGTGTGTGCGTGTGCGTGCGTGCGTGTGCGTGCTTTCTGAGTGTAACTGTATTGTGCACGTTGGTGTATTATGTTTTGTTGTGTTCGGGGAGGCGGGACTGTAGGTCTCTATGTTGACTGGCTAACAGGTCGAGTCGGTTGACTGGTTATATAGTTGTGCTTAACTTGGGGTGTGTGTGTGTGTGTGTGTGTGTGTGTGTGTGTGTGTGTGTGTGTGTGTGTGTGTGTGGCACTGGATCAATCAAGACCAACCTTGAGCAGCTGCAGTTTTAATGACTCGCGTGGCAGGCGGGTGTGTGTGGTGGAGACAGGTCACCACCCATATTAATGGAGAAGCCCACCCTGTAGGTCATCCTTACCTTGACCTCTTAATTCTGCCTTTCATTCCCAAGTCAGAGGTCTTCCAACGTGACCTCGCCGCGACCTCTTTTTTCACATTTCCCTCCCGACCTCTCACCTCACGTTACCTCTGATCCATCTTCCACTACGTAAGTTAACGTCATCCAGGTGGAACCTCTTCACCCAAGCGTAGACCTCACCGTCACTTCACCACCACCTGGAAACCTTAACACATTATCTGGATATTGTGATCCAGAGTCCCGGGTAACTTTAACGTACTGTATGGTAGTATCGGTACACTGACACAATAAAGCATCCTCTCAGCTTTGGCCCAAGTGTAATGAAACCTGACCAACCAACACAGTCACTTACCAAGGTACTGTACTGAACCACAGCTGTTTATGGGGGTCACACGTGCCAGTGTCCAATGTCGCAACCGTTATGTGATGTATTCGTCAAAACCTCGGGAAGGTACATCATTCTCTCACTGTAAATAGTACATACATACATACATACATACATACATTCATTATATGTATCTATTTATGTCGACATACGGGGATCAACTGAACTGGGGGAAAATTGTTTAGGTGGATCTGTGGGGCTGAGGCGTTTACGGTTAACAAATTTATTGGCAAAGCTTGAAGTACAGTTTGCCTATTGTGAGTAATTCAGTCAGATCTTGACACTGAGGATGCTATCACTTGTCACTGCCACGCACGACAGTGGCTCAGATACAGTAGAACTCAGCGAGGGCAGAGCCATACAGTACAAAGGAGGATGTTGAGGTTGTCCACTTACAGTGTTTGTTTTATGTAAGAGTGAAGAACACGGGGTGAAAAATATG